CCGAGCTTCTCCTTGCCTTTGTCCGTCAGCAGGGCGTGGTAGGCGATGTCGTTGTCGGTGGCTGCTTCGCGATCAGCGGCGGCGGCCTCCTCCTGCTGCTTTAGGGACCATGGATATCTGGCTGGCTGGATGTGGTAGAACCGAGCGAACTCGAAGGCCGAGAGGGGTTGCACTCTGGGGTCCGTGCCGTGGTTGCCGTAGACGGTCCACAGCTGTGGCTCGGCGACGAGCTTCCTTTTGCTTTTGTTGCCGGGTCTGTCGACCCACCCACTGAGGTCGCTCTGGATCTTTGCGCGCTCTGTCGGCAGCGGCCGGCCTTCGGTGGCGGCTTGCATGAGCTCGAGGCCCACCTGGAGGGACATGCCCGCGAGTGCTGCGGTCTTGATGGTTTCCGCGGCGGTGGGGGCGTTGTGGCCGGCGTTGTCGATGAGGTTGGTGCACTCCACGGAGCCTCGGACCACGCCCCGGGCGAAGGCGTCCGTCATGAGGCGCTTCGAGGCTCTGGCTCCCACGTAGCCGGCGGAGGAGTTGTTCCGCAGTTCGGTCTCCAGGTCCTTGTGGCTCTTGTTCCACTCTTGGACCTCGTTGACCGCGATGGGGTTCCGCTTGTTCTGGTAGTCGCATGCATAGCCCGCCTGCGCCGCTTGGTTCAGCTGGGCCTGGTAGGTCATCTCCAGCAGGCTGCTCTTCGTCGGGCAGTCTCGCGTGCAGCGGCCGGCGGCGTCGTGCAGGTCCTCGGTGATCGGGAAGCGGTAGGGCAGCTGGACGTCGCCGTTGCAGCGCAGGGCGGCCAGCAGCGCGGGATGGTTGCCGTTGAGGTTCGGGTCGTTGCAAGGCCCCCAGAGACGGCCGAGGGCGCTGCGCTTGCCCTTGACCGGGATGCCCATCTTTTCTGCGAGTCCCTCGCACACGAGTGTCGTGCTGTCCACCAGCTGCTTCTCGCGAGGGAAGCCTGCCTTGCACTTCGTGGGGTCTTTCTTGTCGCGGCAGTGGTCGAGCGGCAGCCGCGGACCGTTCGGCGTCTTGGGGAGGTGCACGTGATGTTGCTTCAGCTGCTGCAGGGCCTCCACGTCCTCGTCGAGATAGAGCCGTCGCCAGGTCGTGGCGTCCGTGGACGCGTCTGTGCTCTGGTAGTGCGGGCGGCTCAGGGCAAGGTAGGAGTCGCGGTAGGCGGGCCACTGCTCCTCCGTTTCCGGGCGCTTCTTCTCCCAGGTTTGCGGGTCCCGGTAGATGGTGCGGCTGACGTGGGCCGTGTAGGTGCAGTACTTCTGGAAGAGTTCTTGCTTGCGTGCGGGACCCAGGGCCTGCAGCTCCGCGAGGGACTTGAACTGGTGGAAGCACTGGAGGAAGAGCTGCCCAGGGGGCGGCGGTGGCTTCGGTGTCGCATGGCCTTTCTTTGGTTGTCTCTCATGACTGTGCCGGCGTGCCTGGAAGTGGACGTGCAGCACCCCGGACTTCTGGCTTTCGATGGACCCGAACGCGGCGTCGATGCGGCCGAAGATCCCGCCGCAGGCCATGGCGTTGCTGCCGAAGGCGTCCGCGCAGGGTGTTTTGGACTTGCTGCAATTCGGGCACTGGGGGGAGTAGCGGACGCCGAAGAGGTGGCGCAGCGCGAGCTGCACGAGGGTGCGGAAGCCGTCGGCGCAGGCCACGGGATCCTTGGTGAGCATGGCCCGGCGAGCGTCGTAGGGCGGCAGCTCGGCGGCGAGGGCGTCTGGGTTGAGGCTGTAGAACTCCACGTCCAGCTCCGGCTTGCTGCGCCCCTGGGCTCCTCGGGTGGTGGTGTCCTCTGGGCCGAGGCTGGGGTCGGACTGCCGGGCGCGGGCCAGGCGCAGCATCACCGTGCTGTCGCGCTCTGAGGGGGAGAAGGTCACGAAGAGATCGGGGTGCCGTGGCATATCCGATTGGCGTGGGTTTGGAGGCGCATGGTCTTGCGCACCTCGTGCGTGCCCGGGATGTTTCGACTGCGCGCCTCCGTGTTGTCCAGGACCTGACACCGCTGTCGGGCTTGCTTTGGGCACTCGTTGTAACCTGGCTCTTGGTAGCTTGCCTGCTCCGAGTGTGGACTTCTACGGCGCGCGTCACGGCACTTGCTTGCTCTCTACGGGTTTTCAGGCGGCGAAGGATGGGAGGCTTGCACTGCGGGTGGGTCCGTGCTTTATAGGATTTTCTTTGCACGAGCTTCGAGCCTTCAGGGCTGCTTCTGAGAGCCCTGGGACGAAGCGTAGTTTGGTGAGGTCTCCGTTGACGGGCTTCAGCTGGTTGTTGATGTCGAGGTACTGGCCTCTGAGGAGCTTTTGCTGGATCTGCTTTTGCCCCTCCAGGATCTCCTTGGTGGTCAGGGCCCTGCTCTCGTGGTTATCGTCGGCGACGCTGTAGATGAAGGCGTTCCCCTGGGTGTTCACCATGGTCCTGAAGAGGTAGTTCCAGAGGGTGAAGCCGAAGCTCCAGTCTCGCCTGAATTGGGTTTCTGCCCGGAGCTGCATGGCTGTTGCCCATTCGAAGATCTGCACTTGGGGGGCCTCCGGGTTCTTGTCTCGGCGGCGTCCTTGCGCTGACGCCCGGTTGCTTGCTGTGCTGTTGCTGTTCTGGACGTCCGGACAGGCGGTGCCATGGGCGAAGCAGAAGCTGAAGGCCGTGGCGAAGTAGAGCGGCTGGAACTGGTCCACCAAGATGTTGCCGGTGCGCACCTCCATGGTCTCGAGGACCTTCTAGTTCTCTTCGTTGCTGCGGAGCTGGGTTTGGAGGTCGTTGAGTGCGGCCGTGGCCACGGCGTTCTGGTCCTCGCGGTCCGTGCTGCAGCCTTGCGGCACGACGGCCCGGGCTCGCTGGTCGGCGAAGATGGCGCCGGCCCGCTGCATGTCCTGCTCCGGCGCGTCCGTCGGGGCGGCGGCCTTCTGCGGCTGCAGCTTGTGGGCGGTCTCGTCGTCCTCGCTCAGGCCGGAACTGATCTTGAGTACTTCCGGCGGCACGCCGCCCTCTGGCAGCTGCGATGCTGCCTCCCGCACATCCGCCATGCGCAGGTGCTGGAACGCGGGATGCCCGAGGCGCTGCATGTCGTGGATGAGGTTCACGACTACGTCTCTCCGCACGGTGGCCTGGTGGAGCAGAGTCTTGATCTCGGTCTCGCTCGTCTTGCCCGTTTTGTTCGTCTTGAGGAGCACCCTCGCGACCTCGGCGAGCGCCTTGCCTGTGCGCGGCAGGCTGGGGGGTGCCGCCGCTCCCGCTTGGTCCTGCTCCCTGGCAACTTCTGCGTGGTGTGCCTCTAGGTTGCGCAGGAGGTCTTCCCATGGGAGGGGAAAGGTGAGGGCGTTGCCGCGCGCGCCCAGGCGGTGACGGGCGTTCTGGGCTTTTTCGTCTAAGGTGGTCCCTTCGCTGCGGTGCCGCGCTTCCATGGACATGCACACCAGGGTCGGCACGCAGGGGCTTGCGCAGATCATTTCCATCACTGTGACCTTCTCTGCGTGCAGGCGCGCCGGGGAGTAGCCTGTCCACATGTCATTGCACAAGCTCAGGGGCGGCAGCTGGCCGTTGTCCAAGTGTTGCGCGCAGTCGCGGCAGAGGGGCACCTCGCAGTGCTCGCAGAGCGTGTGCTGGCGTGGGTGCTGGGGATTGGCGTGGCAGCGGTGGTCTTCTGGGCAGCAGAGTATGTCGCCGAGCCCGGGGATGGTCACGGTCCACTCGTTCAGCTCGGCCACGTCGGTGAGCTTGACGTCCACGGCGAGGTCGCCGTAGAGCCCCAGGTACTTGTCGATGCTCAGGATGTCGTGCAGACGTTCGGTTGTCTCGGCGTGGGTCCTGTCGTTGCTGGGGGGACCCTGGATGAGCCTGCGCCAGCGGATGGGGCCCGCGGCCTCGGCGTCGGCCACGCGTGTGTGGATGCATGCGCAGCAGAAGCAAATGATCGCTTCCACACTGTCTTTGCTGGTGGCTTCGGCGAAGCTCCGCAGCGCGCTTCTGTCCCGCGAGCTTCCTGCCACGGGTGCGGCCTCTCTGCACCGCAGGGCTATGGCTTCGTTGTAGACGCTGGCCAGTGCATCGGCCGGGATTGGCTTGGGTAGGTGCTGTGCGACGCTCTGCAGTGCGGTTGCGTGCTCTTGCTGGACGTGCTCTCGAAGCTCTTGCTCGGTGCCCGTAAGCAATGACCAGTTGCAGCTCTGGAAGGCGCAGAACTGTCCTGGCCAGGGTTCCCCACGGTCGAGGTATTCGGGCCTGGCTCCGGGCGGTATCAGCGGCTGGGCTCGCAGCTGGGTGTGTGCGAGGTGCCGGAGAGCCTCTTCCAGTTTCCGCCGGGGGTGGCTGCTGTCCGGCGCCACGGGCATGCTGGTGAGCTCTTCCAGGAGGTTGGGCTCGTCCTGTGCCTCTGGCTCGGGCGGGCGTGTCGCCGGCTTCGACGGCGTCTTGCGCGCCTGGGCCTGTTGATGGGCCTCCTCTCCGCCGGCGGCGGTTCTTCTGCGCTTGGCTGGGCGCGGAATCGGGTGGGGTGGTGGTGGTGGTGGTGGTGGTGGTGGTGGCAGTGGTGGTGCTGGTGGCGGTGCTCGGTCTATGGGCACCAGCAGGTCGTAGTGGTACCTGCCGTTGTACCAGAGATGGATCACTTCCGTGGCGTTCGGTGCTGCGTGCGGCCGGCGTTGGGCTGCTTCGTCCACGTCCGAGTGCGTGCGCTCGCTCGTGAGGATGTCGCCGTTTGGCGTCCGCCAGTGCAAAAGGCCTCGCTGCTGCCTCATGCGGGTGAAAGCGATGATGGCCGTGTCGCCGCCCCAGTGACCCGGATCGCTTTGGAGGTAGTGGCTTTCCTGTAGCCAGGCCTGCACTTGCTCTTCGTCTTCTTCGGCTTCTGCGTTCTCTCTGAGGTACTGGATGATTAGGGCTCGGAGGCATGCCCCGCTCTCGCCGGTGTTCTCTTCGAGCGCGTGGAAGAGGCAGTTGCCGTCGCCTGACATCTTCTTGATGGCCAGCATGCCCCGAAAGTGCTCCTCCCGGGTGCATTGTCTGCTTGCCTAAAGAGCGCTCTTGACAGTGGATGCTCGAGGGAAAACGCCGGCCTCGACGCTGGGTCCGGGCTCCGTGTCGTGGTCGGAGTCCGTCTCGGCCCCCCCTCGTCGCGCGGCCGGTCCTTCGTGAGATGGTTCAGCGGCATTCCTTGCGAGCTTTGCCGCTTCCACGGCTGCGTTTCTTGGCGGTGTTGCCTCGGCGGCTCTGTCGGCCTGTGCACACAGTGGGACTAGACGCTTGCCGGGGGAGGTGTTGTGCGCCTTTGGGGTGTAGCTTCTCTCCGGTGCCTCTGCTCGCTGGAAAGCTCGATCCAGGGCTCTCTCGTCGTCGGCCGTCCATCGTGGCTGGCGCGGCAGTGGCGTTTTGGGGGCCTGCAGGTCACGATGCCGCGTACGGCTTGCTTTCTTTTTTCTATGTCTTTTCTCGTGGCACAAGTCCTTACTTGCATTCCGGCCGTGATGCCTTCTTCCGTCGGGGTGTTCTTGGCTTCGCGCCGGAGGGCGGGGTCGTGTCCCGTCGAGGTGCGGTTGTCGGGGAGGTTGTCCAGGCCTCGTGCGTGCATGCCCGTGTGCTTTCCTGGGATTTCTGAGGGCGACGGCACGAGGTGTCAGCGCGCCTCGTCGATCTTGATTGTTCCGCCCTCGGCCGGTGGGTTCGGTGCGCAGTTGCGCGACATACATGCGTGTATACACGGGTTCTCTATTCGGAGGCTCTGGGGCATGCACGGGCGTCAGAAGTGTCAGGCTGCATCTCCTCGCCAGGTAGTCCTTCTTGAACGCTTCGAAGTCCCAGCCTGTCGCCTCGTGGTTCGGTGCGCTGAGGCCGTTGAGGTTTCGGGCGGGGTCGGGCCGTCTGCGCGTGTCGCATGCGATCCCGCCTGATCGTCGTCGTCTGTCATGTCGGCCCACCGTCGGCTGCTTTCGGGCTGCATGAGGGCTTCACCTGCACGGGCGGGGGAGCGAACCGTGCCTGCTCTTTCTCTCTTACTGTCGGAAGCAGCTTCGGCCTAGATGGTTCTTCAGGAAGCGGATCTCTGCTTTTGAGGCTCGATCACGAATTGGGCTGCGGTGCCAGGTTACGGTTGGTGTGCTCTCGCTGCAGGCACGATGTCAGCGTCGTTGGCTTGCTGCTTGCAGCCGACTCTCCTTTTTCGCTTCTGCTGCTGTGGCTGCAAGGCGCGGTGCTCCTTCGCGGCCGGCGCACGGCAGAGGTTGTGTGAAACGAACGACTCTTTCCTAGCTCTGTGCTGTCAGCATGTCTCACATGTCATGGGAAAGGACCAACGTGATCAGTGGCCCGTCTAACGTCGTGCGCACTGCTTGGTTGCGGCTCCGCAGGCGGCCCTGGGCTGCCGCTGCTAGAGCAGCGGATGTAGCAAGCTCTTCCAGCTCCGGCAAAGGGTTCGACATGCCGGCGATTCGCAGCAGCTCCCCGCCGGCCACCGTGGTGAACACTGCGTCAACAGCATTTTGCGGGACAGGCGTCAAGCTGCAGGTGACGACCAAGGGTGAGGGCACTTCACGGACGTAGACCTCGCCGGCGGGATAACTGATCCAAGCATCATGGTCCAGCTCTTCAGCTTCGAACACAGCAACCTTGGCATCTGCTGGATGCCATCGGACGAATCGGCACTGCAGCCTCTCCACGGGATCGGTGGAAAAGAAGAGCAGATGCCATCGAGGAGCTGCTTCAGTGGTAAAGGCCGCGCAGTCCGAGTCAATCAATGACCACGAGCCAGGACCGCCTTCCAAACACCGGCTCCACTCCAGACGGCGGCCGTCCATCTTGTGGGTGCTCTGAAGGAAAGGAAATGCAAACTTTGAAGCTGCAAGATACTGCTGCGGAACACAGGATGCAATGCTCAAGCAGCATCTGCAAGACTGGAAGCTACATGCTTCGACCTTAACACCTAGAAATACTCGTGAACGATGCTCGGGCCGAGCGTGTTTTCACACCTGCGGTTGTTGCCTTCCTTGTGAAACATCCCCAGCTGTATTTCGGCTGAAATACGGTATGTCTCTACCTGGAACAAAGAGGGAGCTTGCCAAATGGATTTCCTTCATAAAATGGACGGGAATAAAGATTGCCAGGTGGTTCGCGGGATCCCAAGCCGGTTTCCTTCATAAACTGGACGGTGGTGAGGATTGTCAAGTGATTCGCAAGCTCTCCAAGCCGATTTCCTTCGTAAAATGGACGAGGATAGAGATTGTCAGGTGGTGGGGGGGCTTTTCAACTGGACTCCGGAGGTCCTCGCGTAGTTGTACCTTGGCATTGGAAGGGAATCAACGTAAAAATAAAGCAAATATGGCCTTGTCTAGTTGCTGTCAAGATGCGACCAAAGCTGTACCTTGGCTGCGGACATGTACATGAAGTCTGATTGCAGCCAAATTGCATTCAAAGGTGGTATACCTTGGCTGTGACGTGATGAATCAATGCATGTGCGGGAAAGTATGATGGTATGATGAAGCGTGAAGGTCTTTGAAGGCACCCCTTACCAGTGATATAGGAGGCTCATCTTGCATCTGCAGGGGCTATCATCGCGGATGTATCTTCCTTAGGTCTTGGCTGGCAGCTTGGTTTGGAGCGGACCTGACGTACGACATGGAAGGGAAACTGCGAGCTTGCATGCGTGCAATTGCAGCTTAGTGGCCGTTTCTCATTGCCTAGAGCAAAGGCTCTCCGCCAAGGCTCTTCGCAAGTTGCGTGCGGCCATGTCGGCTTTTCTCCGGAGCCTGCGAGTTGCGGGTCTTTCCCGGATTTCCTGCGACCATACTATGAAGTTATGCACTGGCTCGAGGGAGCAGTCGCTCAGCACCAGCCGCACGGGCTGCGTGCCCGACTTCAGGCACTCTGCCTTCAGTGCCAGTCTCCGTGCTGTCTTGCGCAGGTGTCCGAGTGTCACATTTGCTCGGACATATCTCACTGGCTGCTGGATGCGGCGGCCGCTCAGCGTGAAAAAGTTGGCCGTGAGGGTGTCGCGGCACGCCTCTAGCTGGCACTGCACCACCAGGGGTGTCTCCGCCATCCCGGCACGAAACTGTGCGGGGTGTGGAGTATGCAGTGGGAGAGTGCTAGTGTGGCGGCTAGCCTTGGTGTGTTTGTGCTTGCGTCATGGGTTACGGTGACCTAATTAACCTGCTGCTGGCAGAGCTCTTGCTGTCTGTGCTGCTCATGGTGCCAAAGCTTGAGTCCAAATTTGCTCTACGGCGAGTGTTTGCGTTGCGGCAGAGAAACCTGACACTGGAAGCTGACGAGTTCAGGAAGAATAGCAGGGGGGTTGCGCGAGACAGTGTTTTGACAGTGGGAGCGTGCACGCATGTGATTGCAGCCTGGCGGCTGCTGCGCGTTTCGGCCTTGTTGGCCGTACCTTGGCGTCCAGATCAGATGATTGCTAGCACATTGGAAGCCTAGCATGGACAGATGTGGACATGCACGTGTTTAATTGCAGCCGAGTCGCTTTCACCAAAAATCAGTCCTTGGCTTGGACATGTTCAGTGAATGCATGCGTGGGAAGTATGAGAGTGTGAAGGTCTTCGAAGGCACCCCCCAGCGTACTTAGTACTGGGATGGCCTTATTTTAGGCGCCTTATAAGAGAATGTCCCGCAGCACACGCTCCCTGCTTCCCCGATGTTTCTGGTCGGATTGTAACATCCTTCGCCCATATGTGTTCACCGATTGGAGATAGATCGGATCCCCGGTAGTAACGCGCACCCGCGAGCGAGTACACGCGTTCCCGTTGACAGGCCCAATGGGAAGCCCCCTTGGCCCTTGGCACTGAGGAAAACAAACCGATCCTCGCGCAAAGCGCGTCCGTGGCACACATCCCAAAAGTATGACCGTGGCCTACTTTTGGAATGCTCAATGAAGGCACCTCGGCTCTTTGTAGGTATTTGGAGGCCGATTCGCTAGTGAACTGGCGCGTACAGCAGTCGCTGTAGTTCAACGCCATTACTAGCTTCCAAAAGACAGTTAGCATGTCCCCTTAGGGGGCGAGCGGAGGGTCCAAAAGCGCATTGTGTGTACGCGCGCGGGTCGGGGAAATCCTGGTCCCGGGGCGGTCGTAGATTGACGGTGGGTGTCAATTTTGCCCGGCTTCAAGACTGCTTAAAGCCCTTTGAAATAACTTCGGAAGCCACTTAGAACGTTTTAAAACCACTCTGAGCCTTTAAAAACCTCTCAAAACCTGCAAAAACTTGCAACCAGGCCAACCACAACGCCAAAGTGACAATCTCCAGGCCCCAAAGTGACAATCTCCAGGCCCCAAAGTGACAATCGCCAGGCCCCAGGTGACAATCTCCAGGCCCCAAAGTTACAATCCCCAGACCCCGAGTGACAATCTCCAGGCCCCAAAGTGACAATCGCCAGGCCCCAGGTGACAATCTCCAGGCCCCAAAGTGACAATCGCCAGGCCCCGAGTGACAATCTCCAGGCCCCAAAGGGGTGGCAATCTTAGGGGGTCTAGATTGTCAGAAGGCGGCAATCGTAGGGGGGTACAGATTGCCAAAAGGTGGCAATCACAGGGGATCTAGATTGTCAGCAGGTGGCAATCTTAGGGGGGTACAGATTGCCAACAGGTGGCAATCTTAAGGGGGTACAGATTGCCAAGAAGTGGCAATCACAGGGGATCTAGATTGTCAGCAGGTGGCAATCTTAGGGGGGTACAGATTGCCAACAGGTGGCAATCTTAAGGGGGTACAGATTGCCAATAGGTGGCAATCGTGGTGTGGGTTGGTGGAAAGGGGGCGGATGGCTGTCACACTCCCTTGCTGGCCGGTTGCCCCTTTGGATTGTCAGCAGGTGGCAATCTTCAGGGGGTATAGATTGCCAATAGGTGGCAATCGTGGTGGGGGTTGGTGGAAAGGGGGCGGATGGCTGTCACACTCCCTTGCTGGCCGTTTGCCCCTTTGGATTGTCAGCAGGTGGCAATCTTCAGGGCTTCAGATTGTCAGCTGGTGGCAATCTGGGTGGAGCTTGGTGGAAAGGGGGCGGATGGCTGTCACACTCCCTTGCTGGCCGTTTGCCCCTTTGGATTGTCAGTAGCTCTGGACCCTCCCGGCGGATGGCTGTCACACTCCCTTGCCAAATTGACAGCAGGTGTCAATCGTGAGAGGTCCGGTGGGGGAAGGGGCCGGTTATTGGCTTCTTGTTTCAAGGATGTTGAACACGACAACCAGGACTAACAAAATGGGTTTTTTTTTCTGCACTGGTTCTTGGCTTCTTGTTTTAAGGATGTTGAGCACGACAACGAGGACTAACAAAATGTGGCTTTTTTTCTGCACTGGTTCTTGTCTTCTTGTTTTAAGAATGTTGAGCACGACAACTAGGACTAACACAATGGGGCTTTTTTTCTGCACTGGTTCTTGACTTCTTGTTTCAAGGATGTTGAGCACAACAACAAGGGTTAACAAAATTGTGTGTTTTTGTTCTGCACTGTTTACTGGCATCTTGGTGCTTCCCAACGGTGTGGCAAATACAATTTCTGGTTCTTGGTGCCCCAATAAGCGAAACAATTCTGCCAGAGAATTTGGTTCCTAACGCCCCAATAAGCGAAACAATTCTGC